TTATCACTCTCGAGTCCTCTAGAAGTCAGCTCCCGCTCCGATCGTTCAACCAAATAAAGCATGAAAGTCTAGTCCGCATGCAAAACTACCTTTGAAGACTTCAAATTGATAAGTCACATCCTCTTGGGAATCTCGGACGCGATGCGTGAAGCTTTTGCCAACTGACGCCTTTATAAAGGTGCCGCCATTTTCTAAGAAACATACGTGCAATTTAACACTCAAGCTCTCTATCTCTCTCTCTCGCTTTCTAAATTTCTGAAACTCCAATTTGTTAACTTAAGCATCAGAGTGCCCACACTGGGTAAAGCAGCCCGGGTACTCTGATCTTTTCTCTCTCTCTTTACAGCTTAACTAAGCTACCTACCTAGTCCGGCATCCGAGCTGTTCACCAGCAAGGAACGTCAGATCGCACACCATCGATTTTGTACCAAGTGAAAGTGAAAATCATAGTACTGAAAACAAAACTGAACCGGATGCAAAATTTGTATTTGGTTCAGATTTGGATTTACAATAAAGAAGCTAGAGAATGAAGAGGTGGCTAATCCATAGGGTTCCTGTTTTATTTAGGAGTGGCAATTTCTGGTCCAACTCCAACCATTTTAGTCCAACAAATTTCATATAGTGTGTTTTGGGTTCTGAATCGATTTAATGGGTTAACTCAGGTTGGGAACTAGAGGGTGTGAGTTAGGTCCCGCCCATTTTTAAGTCTTAATATCTCCTAATGGGCTGGTGGATTAAATGGAAGGATTGTAAGTTGTAACTCAACCCACATTTAACCCACCCAAATTGCTTCATCCACAGCTTAGGTTGGCCACATCATACTCTATGTGGCAGAAATGAAGTAGGTTGTTTAGGGAAGTCCGAATTTTCTCCAATTAGGAAACATATTTTATTGCTAATAAGAATAATGATGATGATAATATGAAATGGTTTGATGGTATGTTTTATTAAAGAAAATCTAAGAGGTTGTTTATCAAATATGTATGATTTTGTTTTAAAAGATAATCATATGCATTGCTTAGCTGAAATGTTCCGAATTTGATCTCTGGCTTTAGCTTATTTTTAGCCTTAAAATATTCCAATTGAGCTGAAAATGAATTTTGGCCTGTAAGTTGATCGGCCCAGGCCTGTCTAAATTCAAACGGCTAAAGGCAGTTTGAATATGGGCCCAGTAGATTTGAGCCCGCAGAGTGACCGAACATCTCGTTTTGAAGAAAATTAGATACTTGTCTCACTTTTATTAATTATTAATTATTAAAATTATAAATTAGCTTATGAGTTGTGAATCTTTTTTTTTTATTTTTACTAAAATATATCTATTTTTAAATTTGGTCCTTTCTAATTGTTCAGACAGAAAAATATAACTTAAATTACTATTTTTTTCTCATTTAATTATCCCTGATTAAGTCTTAGTATGTTTAAGGCATTCTCTCATAAGTCCTATGTTTACGATATTTTTCTTGCTACTATTAAAATTATGATGAAATTGTAAAAAAATAATATTAATGACTAAGATGATATTTGGCATCGATGATGCTGATTTTAAATGATGATTTAACGATTTTTTTCAAAAATTGGTAAATTTTATTATTTGGTACCATTTTTGCTATGTTAGCTGATTTTTGAGTTTACTTGGTACAGATTTTCAAGGGATGATTATTTTTGCATTGGAATTATTATTCAATGCCATGTCATCTTCTAAAAATTAGAATCAGCTAAAAATTAGAAAATCATAAAAAATGATGATCCTTGAAAAGGGCCTATTTCCTAAAAATCATCAAAATTAACCAATCAAATAGAAATTTCAGCACCAATTCCTCTAACACCAACGTGACTACGATATGACAGTGATTTACAAGAAATCAACATCCATGCCAAACAACCTCTTAAATATCCCTATTTTATTAACCCTCCCTCTGAATCAATCAAGGATTCAATGGAGCTTGACTAAACCCAGATTCTGCAGTTCACGTCTCAATCTTACGGAAACGGCTACCACTGGACTTCGGTTGGACTTGGACCCGAAATGAAAGAACACTGACATCCTATAGGCTGTCCTATTCTTATTTTACATTCATATGCTATAGAGTTTTTTTTTTTTTTTTTTTATTCTCTAAAGATGGCCATTAGCTATACAATCTATGGACCACGATCCTGTGGCGTCAAGGGCTCAACTCAAGCCATGCTAAATATACAAATTTATTTTCATGTTTCCTTATGCTGTGTTTGGTTGCAATGTAAATAAATTTGCACCTGATGCAAAACATGACAGTGCTATATATTCTGACTTATTTTTGTTTCAAAATTTATCTTATTTTGTTTTATTGCGGTACAGATGAAGTAAGTGAAGACATGAAGTAGAATAAAATAAAATTAAACAAGAATTTTCAATTTTTATATTTGCACCCCCATGCATTTGTACTAGTGCAAATAAATTTAAAATAAGGAAGTCTAGAAATTTTCTCATTTTTTTGAAATTTTGATTTTTTTAATTCATGTCGTTTTCAAAATTACCAACTATCCTCAGCTTTCTCGTAAGTCATCTCTAATTTAGTAGAGTTTCTCTCCTAAATTATCTCTAATTATTATTTATCTTCTCCCCCACTTTTTATCTACATCTATCTAAAGAAGGTTTGAAATAAAAATTTTAAGAATTATTAAATATTCTAAAAAAATTATATAATAACTTTAAAATATTTATTAAAAAGACAAAAAATAATTATAATCGATTTAATAATATTCATATTATTAATAGTTATATATTGTTACAAAATTCATCACAAAATTATGCACAAACAATATAAATTATGATTTTTTGGATTATTCAATCTACATGTTATTCAAATAATAAAAATCTAACACTAAAAATTAAATATTATTTAAATATTTCAATAACTAAATATCTTAAATAAAAATATTAAAATTAATACTTTACATCAAATAATAATATATTTTAAATATTTAGTTAAATAACTATATATTTTAAATAATGAAATATTTAACATAAAAAAATTATGTACTAATAGTAGTATAATTCTATGGATTATTAAATTCAATAACTAATTAATATTTTAAAATTTAAATAATTATATTATTTCAATAAATAAATAACATTGTGAATAACTAATTTCATTTATACCAGTTAATAATTATAGAAAATAACTTTCAAAAATTATTGTTTATTAATACTTTTAAAAACTTAATCTTTATTTATTATATATTTATCTATACTGGAATTAATATTTATTGTATTTTAGTAATTATTTATTGTTTTGTCATAAATATATTTTCAATAATTATGTATAAATCTATTTTTGCTTTGTTATTTAATAGAAATTTTCCAATAATTATTGGAGTTGAAACTACTATTATTTAGCATTTTAAATTTAATTTATTGTGTATTTTCACTCTAAATTTTTAATAATTATTGGAGATTAAACTATTGTTTACGACCAAACAACCAAATCAACCTAGTCAGGTTGGGGGGCTAGTCACACAGGTTATATCGGTTTGGGTTAATATTTAGTTTGGTCGGTTGTTTCAAAAGATTTAAAAACTTGCAAAATAAAATTTAAAAATTAAGTTTAAATTAAAAAATACAATGACATTATTAAAAAAATAAATCTAAAAATTAAATTTATGATATAAACTATTTTAACCTAAGAAATATTGGAATTTTTCCACTTTCTTGTATTAAAAATATATATTTAAAATATTAAATATTAATATATATCTTTGGTCGGGTCGTTCAATTTTAGTCAGTTTGCAAATGGCCAAAGATAAATTGGTCCAACCCAATCGGGTTAGGAAATTGTTGAACCAAAGCCGAATGGAAATACTAGAAATCAGGTTGTTCAATTTCATTAATTTGATTCGGAATGGCAACGAGGCAGGGCGAGGACAAGGAGCCTCTCCCCATCTCCGTCCCCACAAAAACCCCATCCACGTCCCCATCCCCATCCCTGCTAATGGGGGCAATGTTATCCCCATCCCCGTCTTCACGGGGTCCTCACTCCCAGTGATTCTTTATAATGTCAACCATTATGTTTTTGTTTTTATTTTATTTAAAAAATAAAAAATAAAATGATTAAAATTTACAATCCTATTGGAAAAGATTCAAGCATATTCAACCATATTTTTAAAAAATATTAACATATAGACATATGTGTGTATATATATACATATATAAACGTATGTGTCTATATAAATATATATTAGTGGGATCGGGGTCCGCGCCGGAGCAAAGAGTGCTCTCCCCGTTCCTGCCAATGAGGATAAAAATTTCCCCATGTTCATCCCCGTGGGGGAAAATCATCCCCATCCCCTCCCCATTCGGGGTAGATCCCACGGAGATCGGGAAAATGGGAAAAATTACCATCCCTAAGTTTGATAAACAATTTTATCTAAAATTAATTATAGTTATTTTTATATCATAAAAAATATATAAAATATAAATAATTATTAATTATTATATAAAACAATATATACTCTTACATATTTTTATTGTTTATCTTTAATTTAAACACGAGTCCCCGCTAGTATCTATTATTTGGAAGATATTTTCAATACACCGTGGGATGTGGGTGTGGTATCCATGTGAGAAGCAGATCCCAATTCTACGATATGCAGCGGAAATCATTCTCCTAGAACATCCTCTCATTCAAATGAATTTCCCCATCTTATCAAGTACATGATATTCTAAATATGTGGCGTAACATTGTATTCTATGGAGGAAAAGGTTTGGACTTTGGACCACCAAGCACCAACTACTAATTGGCAAATTGCTTTTGCTTGTTTGGCTAGAAGTTCGTATCCTCCTCTCCCAATGTCAAGCAAGATTACGTGGCGTATCATAATTGTTGCAGTATGTCCGGTTCAAATTCAAACCGGTTAATTGCAGAAGACTCGCCCATGGATAGGATAATCGGATTTGTATGGATTGGTGACCATGGACCCAGGGCCCCGCATATCTATACAAACATGAAAGATGTGGTGGGCTTAGGCTTAGCATCCCTCAAAGATTGGTGGTCCGTCCCCATCCAGTGAAGCGAGCGATCACATTTGGTCTGAACTCTGAACTCTGAAGATTTCCTTTCTCTGCCCGACTGCCCTTTTCCGTTCTCTCGCTCTCCAGAGTCCAGACACTCTCTACCCTTTTACCCACTCACTCTGATGATTCAGTAAAGCCACCAACCGAAAAGAGGGGAACAGCAAAATGTCATTTGCACCAGCACCACCGATTGCTCGTCTGCAGTCTCTATTCCTCTCTTCACCTCTCACTCTCAAGCTCTCATCTTCTTTCTCTCAAAGGACTATCAGCAGGAATCGACCGACGCCCGCTTCCTATCCATCCATACGGGCCTTGGATCTTGATCAAAACACGGTATTCTCCACATCTCGTTTCTCTGTTTCTGTTTCTTTTTCCTTCTTTTTTTAGAATTTTAAATAAATTTGTGTAATAATGTGCAAAATGATTGTAGGTTGTAGCTATAACGGTGGGGGTAGTTAGCGTTGCGGTTGGTATTGGAATACCAGTCTTTTATGAAACTCAAATCGATAATGCCGTAAGTGTTTCTCCCAATTATCTGGTGTGATTATAATTTTAATGAAAAAGAAATAACCAATTGAATGCTCTTCTTCACTTGTTTGCAATTCTATTGCAAAACTGCAACAGGCAAAGCGAGAGAACACGCAACCATGCTTCCCTTGTAATGGATCAGGCGCTCGTAAGCTCATCATCTCTGCTATTTCTGTCTTTTCTCTTTTGTCTAAGTTTTAAGGAACGGAAACGGACCAAACGGTAGACCTAAGACCATAGTTTCAGCAGCTCAATTACTCGGTCAGTTCGTTTAGATTACATGCCAAGATCAGTCCATTAATGTGATCTCATGTGTTTATTTTTAGAGTCAAATACCCGACTGACGGAAGTCTTGAGTCGGGTCTTTGCCTTTCCTGCCCAGAAAAGGCAAAAATATTTGGATAAGAAATGCAGCCCCAGTTACTTGGGTTATAATGTCATTCCTTGACGCAATTGCATCTCGACATTTTTGTTACATTTGCCCTCCGGCAAGTGGCAACCAATAAAATTGGGCAGGAGCAATTGGAATATTTTGTGGGAATGGGGATTATCGCTTGTTCTGTTTGTTTTGTTAGTTGATGAGCCAAGTCTGCAAAGATGGGCTTTGCTTTTCCACAGAAAGCTTGGCAGGATTTAAATGGACGAATTCAACCAATTTCAATAGAATGCCCAATTGAAAATCTTTAGGAGCAGCCAATTTGAGAAGAACAGAAATCAGAAAACCAGTGGATATTGTCCGTGTGACAGTCCTATTGCTAGACGCGGTGAATTAATGACCGAATTCTGCTGCTACATGAGCAGCCGCAGGACAAAACTATTGCGTTACCGAATTCATCGAATAGCCAAAATTGTTGATCATAGTTCTTAATTGTATGGCTTAAATTTCAGAGAGATGCAGATTTTGCATGGGAACAGGCACGGTGACAGTGGAGCTTGGAGGAGACGAGAAAGAAGTTTCGCGGTGCATCAACTGTGAAGGTGTTGGCTCCTCGACATGTACAACATGCCAAGGTTCTGGTATCCAACCTCGCTACCTCGATCGCAGGTATGCCACGAATTTATCTTTCTAAATTATAACTGTTCATCTTTCGACATGCACAATTATCAAAATGCAGGCAGCTGGCAGGCAGGAGACCACCACCAATTGATGGTCTCGGGCTCACTTTTCATGCGTCTTCTTGTCAATTCATCCCTGTGCAAGCATTTTTCTTTAATATACGACGATGGGGTTTTGTTGAATAGGGAATTCAAAGATGATGACTAGGCTGAGAAGGAGGAGCACCAATGACTATCTCTGTAATTGCGGGATTGGAATCATTTGGCCAATGAATATATTACGTATGAGCGGATGTAACCAGGAACAACACGTTTTACAACAATTATTTCATTTCCCACTTTGTTTTGTAAATGTACTACGCCAAATTTCCATAACACATTGTTTGGTTTGGTGCTATTCCATCCATCCCTAAGATCCACCTCTCTGTCACTCTCTCCACATCCTCCATTGACATGTTATGTAAATAAAAATGCACCAAGCTAAGCCATTTGATCTTTTAATACCGTGTATCATTTAATTCTTTAGGTAGCCCTTTCCTTCTAACAGCTCTCACTCTATTGTAGTTTCAGTGGGCCTTTTTTGTAACAGCTTTCGCTCCATTTTCCTTCTCCCAAATACCTCTTTCTATGATCTATACCTGAAACATGGGATTGGTTTTTAATACATAGGACTCTTTAGAAGGGTTTAAACCGAACGTATAGGAACATGGCAAGAATCCAAGATATTGCCATTGCTTGAAAAGGTATGTGAAGTACCAAAGAGAGGCCAGATTTTAGGTCCATGTGTCTTTACATCTATGTTTTATGTCCCTTCTACTCACCTGCTTGCCCATCAAAAGCAGTGCAAGCACCAATGTTGAGTTCCTCTCATGGTTCCCAGGAGTTAAGAGTTAAGACTAAGAAAATGCTTGGAAGGGAATATCAAAATGCACATTAAAAAATGTAATACTCGTAGCTATGGTTTTAGTTTTTACTTTAGGTTGTGTTTGGTTTGAAAGAAAAGATAGGGAAAGGAAGGAGGGAGAGATGTACAAGTTTTCTCTTGTAATAACGTACTCCCTCTCTTTCCCTACCTTTTCTTCAGTCTTGGTAAATGTAATAGGTGAGGAATGAAAATATTGTGATTTTCTGGGTAAAGGACGAAGGGACTTCAACCGCGAGGTCATCAGACCATGTTTTATTCTCTCTTATTAGGGGTGTTCACGGGTCGGGTTGGGTCGGTTTTTTGGGATTTTCCCAACCAACCCGACCTGGTCGAGTTAGCTAAGGTGGGAATCGAAACCGACCCACTGATAGGTCAAACCGATTTGGTCGGTTTGAGTCGGGTTGGGTCGGTTTGGGTCGGTTTCGGTTTTGCTCTTATACAAAGCCAAATAAAATCTGAATTACTTGATAATTTGATATTCAAGAGTCCAAGATAAATCTAAATTTAATTCAGGTAAAGAATAAAATCAATAAATTCTTCATGTAAAAACAAGTGTCAATAATGGGCCTTCTAGAGTAAAAAACTAGGTATATCTATGAAGGTAAATCAATAAAATAAAAATTTAGAAACCTTCTAAATTCTAATCTAGGTAAAAAACTAAAAAATGACATCTAATTGAATTCTAACTATAATTGCCTAATGGGCCTTTTAGAGTTCTAGTTCTAGTAGAAGTCTAAAAATAGAAGACTATTAGGAATTAGGAAACTACTCAAACTAGGAAGTAGGGAACTACCAAACTAGTAGAATACTAGTTCGGTTTGGGTCGGGTTGCAAGAAAACCAAAACCGACCCGAGATTTCGGTTTATGTATGTGCCCAACCCGAAACCGACCGGTACAAATGAAAACCCGGCTGACTCGGGTTGGATCGATCCGGGTTGGTCGGTTTGGTGGCATTCTTATGAACAGCCCTATCTGTTATAGCCAGCTTGTTTGCAACTTTGAGAAATATTGCGTATTACTTCGATTTTGTTCTCTTCTCAATTTTGTTGGTTGAGATGTACCTGGCCGATTCTACTGGATTCCATTACAAATTTATTTTTTTAATAAAGTAATATACTGAGAAATGAAAAAAAAAATGTCAAAATTTTGCCAAGCCTCAAAAGAGTACGATGGCGGCATAGTGCTTCTTTCATATCATATGATACGATAGCTCTATGTAGAGATGTGTTAAACTGTTAGGCTGCGTTTTGGTTGCAGTGCAATTTTGAATTAGATACAAATTTTGCATATGATTCAGTTTTGTATTTGTTTGTTTGTAACGATGATGATTTGCATTTGTGCTTGATACAAATTTTATTACTTTTTAGTTCATTTTCATTCACACTCCGGATTCAGTGCGTCCACTAAACTTATGACATGTCATTCGATGCTCAACTGGCCATCAGACCCATCGCCTACAACCGTTGAAGCTTTATGACTGATAACAATATTTTTAAATAAAAATTGATAAATTATAAATTTTTTCTAAACAAAAGTTAATACCAACAGAAAATTCCAAAACCCTCACGTTCTCTGTTCTCAGACTCAGACCTTACTCCCCCAACGTAACCATTAATCTTCGACAACTGTGGATTTTAACGGCAACAGTGTTGAAAGAGAGAGAGAGTCAAACAATCTATTTCTTCCATCATCTGGTGACAAAGGCTCTATCTGTTCATCATCCTTTTATTCCCTTTTCCAGGATTAAACAAGAGTGTGAAGCAGTTCTCTATCAGATTATGGATTTTGCACTTCCAAGACATTGTTCTTTTTTCCCAAATAATATCACGCCTATGTCGTGTTCTATGATTTTCTTTTCTTTGATCCATCTCATCTTCCGATGGACCCACTTGGCCCTTGCCAAAAGAGAGATATGAAGAATTTTTTCTGTATTTCTTCCTATTACAAAGGAGGGTGGGCAGGTCAAATCTAGTTATCAAACAGACCCTCGTCCATTCGGGAGATGAAAACCACCACACAAAAAAAAAAAGAAAAAAAAAAAACAATGAACAAAGATTCCATCATTAGAGTTGGATTCATTTAGAAGAAAAGATGAAAAACCCTAGACACAGATAGCAAGCTAGCAGCTTTCCTTTCAACACTTTTGATGTTTGAGACTTTGTGTTCACATTGTTAATTGCCGCCCTTTGTCGTTAAAATCCACAGTTGCTGTTCTGTTGCGGTTTGAACACCAATGATGAAGGTTAATGGTTAGGTTGGGGGAGCAAGGTTTGAGTTTGAGAATAGAGAACACGAGAGTTTTAAAATTTTCTGTTGGTATTAGTTTTTGCTTACAAAAATTTTATAATTTATCAAATTTTTATTTAAAAATATTGTTATCAGCCATAAAGCTTCAATACTGTTATCCCTTTTGAGTCCAAACACATTGGATGGGAATTGTTTCATTCACTAATATGAAATTTTTACATCTCAATAACAGATGTAAAACTTGCATCACCTTCCTCTTATCTCAATAACAAATTGTTATCCCTTTTGAGTCCACTTTGTATCATCTTGCTTCCCACTTTATTCCCAAACAAATAGCTCTCTTCATACCTCGTAGGGGTATAAGCGAGTCAAGCTACTCATGAATTATTCAAGCTCAATTTGTAGATAATTAAGTTCGAGCTGAGCTTGAATAACTTGAATAGTTAACCTAATCAAGATTTCAGCTTCATAATACTCAGTTCAAGCGGTTGGCGAGCCTAATTGAGTAGTTAATAAAATATTACTTTTTTTATATATTTTTACTTGTAATACTCTCAATATATTATGCTATTTAACATTTTTTATTCTTTTTACCTAGGGTTGCCTTTTTACCTCATCGAGATAAGTTCAAGTCGGAAAAACAAAACTCAATTGAGTTTGCCTCAAATTTCAAGTTGCGAGTTTTTGTAATTGAGTCAAGCTTGAGTTGTGAAGTGTGTATTGACTCGATTCAATTCAACTTGACTTTGCATATAAGGTAGGACCAGACCATTTTGCTTCCTATGATCCTATTTTATGCACAAGTATACCAGAATTTACACTGAACTTATTGAGATGCAAAGAACAGAGGCAAGCTTAGAAAGCCCAAGCCGGCGCATAAGGCTCTTCTACCATACGCATATCGAAAGCCGTAAGTCAGTTGAAAGTCACTCCTGGTGAACCGGGCGTACTCCTTCACATTTCTTCTCTTATGATTTTTGCTACTTTGTTTAGTGGATATCAAAGAGAGTSTAAGTCTAGTCACTCAACTAATCCACTCGTGGAGTGGTAGTGGTATAGTAGTTGTGTGGTAGTTGAGACTGAGATGAGGACCCCTTTTCTCTCTTCAGGTAGTACCCCTCTCGTGCCCACGTCCTCATATTCGCATTCCCATGCATTTACACCAACGTTGTGTTAGGAAATTGTTTCCATCAGCTAGTCGCTATATATTAGACAAATATGTAAAATTTACTTCTGTTTTGATAAGTTTCACCTCAAATTAGATCTTATATGTCATCACATTGGCAATGAATGTGTGGTATCTAAGCTTTTGCTAATTTATTCTTGTTTAGCAATAATTAAGGCCATGTTTGATGCATCTTTCTGTGCGGTCTGTTGATTATTTACAAGCTCGGCAAAATACAATTTGGTCTATTCTCATTTGGTTCATAGTAGATCTAGTTGTCAAAATCCAATGTGCCGAAAAGATGCGGTAAGTTCAAAACGGACGATTTTTGAGAGCTTAGAGCTTTTACGTTTTTTTTTTTTTTTTTCTATTCATCTTTGTGTGGAAAAACACACCTTAACCAAATGTACTTCAAGCTGCTCAAATCTTATTGTAAAAGCTCAATACGTCTTTTGACCGTTAGACCTACAAGAAGATCTTTCCAAAAAGACTTGCCAAACGTCCCCTAAATCTTTTATAGTTAGCATTACCTAACTAATGGTTGATTTAATTGAGCAGCATAATCTTGATTTTTTATCCACATATATTATAGAAAAACAAGAATATAATAATATATAGGGAAAATTACTAAAACCTCCCATGAAGTTTGGTAATTGTAATCGCTTCCCCTAAACTTTCAGACATAATTCCAATTAGACTCCCCTCTGTTAAAATCCTCTAAAGAGGTATGAACATGTCCAAAATACCCATGCAGTTACTTTGACCAAAATGTTTATTTTCCAGGTTTTCTCTACATATGAATCGTTACCCTAAACCCTTACAATCTCTTTTTTGAAATTTATTTATTTTCCAAAATTTCCCTTCATATCAATTGCTCAAAGGAAAAACTACAACTATAAATTCTCTCTTTTTTTTTGTTTTTATAAAGTTTGTATTATTTTTCTATAGAAACCAGCCTCCATAATAACTGCATGGGTATTTTGGACATTTTTATGATTATTTTTAGAGGGTTCTAATAGAGGGGATCTACTTGCAGTTGTGTCATAAAATTCATGGAGGTAATTGCAATTACCGGACTTTAGGAGAGGTTTTAGCAACGCTCCAAAACTTCAGGGGAGGTTTCAGCAATTTACCCTAATATATAATAAGAATGATAAATCAAC